CTCATGATCCAATCACCTCCTAAGGGTGCCACCTCCTATCCAATTGATGATTAGGTTTCAATATATGGAATTTAAGGAGATGCAAATATTCAGACCCCAGCAATGCCTAAGACACCACATAGTGTTTCATTTCTCCTATGAGTTATCATAACTTTTAAAAAATGAATGGACCAACAAAGTAGTGTAGCCACTTTGGAAAACATTCTGTTTCTCAAAACATTTAACATAAACTTACCATATGATCCAGTAATTGCACTCCTAGATATATACCCAAGTAGAAATGAAAACATATGTCCCACAAAAAATCCTACACAAAAGTTCATAGCAGCATTGTTCATAATCTCCATAATTTCCAGAAAAAAAAGCCCATCATCTGATGCATGGATAAATAAAATGTGATATATCTATACAATGTATTACTATTCAGTCCACAACAAGGAATGTGGCTAATACATATTACAACATTGATAAAACTCAGAAACTTGCTAAGTGAAAGAAGCTGGTCCCAAATAGGTCAACATTGAATGACTGCAGTCATATGGAATGTCCAGAATTGTTAAGAAACGGGTTTATGATCTCTAAAGTAGGAGTGTTGAGGATAAATGGAGAGTACTTCTAGGTAGGTGTTAGGAAGGAGTAATGAAAATGTTCTAAAACTAGTTTGTGGTGTTGATTGCCCGACTCTGGATATACTAAAAAACAATGAATAGTACACTTTTATTTTTTATTTTTTTTTAAAGAAAGAGAGAATAATTTTTTTAATATTTATTTTTTAGTTCTCAGCGGACACAACGTGGTGCTGAGGATCAAACCCGGGCCGCACGCATGCCAGGCGAGCACCCTACCGCTTGAGCCACATCCCCAGCCTGAATGGTACACTTTTAAAAAGTAAAGTTTATGGTATATGAACTATGGCGCATATAAAGCTGTCATTTTTTAAAATGAGATGATAGTCATGTCCTGCTTTAAGCAAACTTACTAAAATCAATAAGGAAATTTAAAAATTATAGCAATGTGTTTTCAAGAAAAACAGCCTTTGTTTTTCGTGCAGCAGTGTGACTATGGGAAGGGGCAGATTCCAAAGAGACTCCGCTCCTAGGCTGTGGTCTGGATGATGTCCCTTGGGGCGGGCGACTGGAAGCGGGCAAAGGTGAAGTTGACAGCTGCGGAAAGAGCTGAGAGGAGGATGCAGGGGAGGTAAAATCCCGGTGCGTTTGCTCTTTCTTCCCGTTTCCCACCCACTCTTTGTATTGCACCCTTTTAACAACAGGGACCAAGGCCCGCTCACCTCGGGTTGCCAGCTCCCAAGCGCTTCTCCAGGACAAGGGTGTGTATTGTTTGGTTCAGAAAATGTGAATTAGTGAATGGACGAGGCGCGTTAAGACACCCTGCCGAAGCTCAGCCCGCCCTCAGCCCGCCTGCCGGTCCCGTCCAGCTGCGGGACTCCGGCTGGATGGTGGCGAAGAGTGCGGGGCTCGGGCACCACCGC